ATTGGTGCTCAAGTTGCCATATGGATTGAACCCATCAGTAGCTAAACTAAGTCTCACATTTTGAGGGTCTAAGGCAAGTTGAGGGTGCATCAAGTCAAATTTCTTCCATGCTTCAGAATCTCTTGGATGTCTTAACATGCCTTCATCCGTACTTTTTGATGCATGCCATCTCATATGCTAAACTATTTTAGATGACAAAAACATCCTCTGTAATCGAGGCTTCAAAGTAAAATACCTTAACACCTTTGCAGGAATCTTCTTTCGCTTATTAACAACAACATCGTCACCAATTGTATTTCTCCTTTTTGGCTTCCATCTTGATGTCTTACATTTCTTACAAGAATCTCTATATTTGTCTTCTCCAACATACAACATACAATCATTCGGACAAGCATCAATTTTGGTGTAATGAAGACCAAGCTTGTTAATCACTTTTTTGGCTTCATAGAATGAGTTTGGAATTTTAGCATGTTCAAATGCATCTGCTAGCAACTCCAGTATCATGGACATAGCTTTGTCACTTATTCTGCATAGACATTTGATGTGATACAACTTCACCAAGAAAGAATGTTTTGAATATTTATCACATCCTTCATATAAGCTTTGTTGTCCATCTTGCATTAATTCAAAAAAATATGTCCCATCATGACTTCTAGTATGGCTTGACTCTACACCCATCTCATCATCATCCGTCATGTCGTTGTTAGAGCAATGATGTGCAAATACATCATTAATCATTTCACACATATTATCATTAATTTAAACTCTTCCACCATCTTCTTCGGCCATTACTTGAGGTGCTTCGTCATTTACTTTTCTTTCCTCGTGTAGAAGCCACAATGTATACTTTTTTGGAAAAGGTTTAATAATTAGGTGCTCTTTTACTTCTTCACGACTTTGTCATTTCTTAAAATTTCATTTTGGACATGGACATATTATTTTTCCCCTAACACCACTATTAGTGAGTGCAAAGTCCAAGGTATTCAATCCTCTCATATATTGACTTGTATTTCGAGGCATGTCTATCCATGATTTGTCCATTAAAACGATCTCTGTTCATGCCAAATAGGATTCGAAGGTTAAAAAAAGTGAAGATATTCAACGAAACACTACATAAGATGAATTTACTAAACTCTGATAACTAATCCAAGGAAAATCATTTACAATCTACTTTCCTTTTATGGGGAAAGTCAACCCACAATCCCTTAGATCAAGGGATTTATTTCAGGAGTTAATTTCACAATCCCTTGGATCAAGGGACTATGAGAGTAGTGTACTCAGAGGCTCCATATATATAGAGCAAGATATAAGAGGTAAATTCTAATTGCTGAAAGTAAGTATTTGACAGTGATAAGTGCAATTGTCTTACAGGGATAGGTTCCCTACTTAAAGCCTACTATAAGGCTATACACTAACAGACCTAAATTAATTTAACTATAAAGAACAAGGGCAACAAAGATTGAACTGCTAAACACTTGGACATTGAACTTTTAATACCGTGTCTCAAACAAAATATCTTAAAAGTTTAACATTTTAATTGAAAGACTCTTTACATTTATAAATTATAACAATAATGATATATGACTTCATTCCAAGTCCGAATTTACAAAAAACATAGCAAATGGAACAAATTGTCAATCCATTGGATACTTGACGAGTAAAAAGTAAACTTATTTCCTGTAAAATTTAATATCTGATTGCGAAATGGTCTTTTAACATCAATACTTATGCTCACCAAACAGGATCAACTACAAGGATTCTAGAGTGTTATCCTATTATACTAGATCACACATAAATTCATGAAACCATTGTTTTAAAAATAATAATAGTCATTAACTTGGTTTAGATAATGGGTTAATAAGTTACAGGTTGAACCAATAGGTCAGCAATTGAACCACATAAAAAGGAGGAGATTAAAATAATAATTAAGATTATGTATATATTAACATTTCTTCATATAAGATATTAATACTGATGTTGGTTTCCTGGGAAATGCAAGGATAAAGTTCCAGTGCAAAGTGTTTGATTCTCGATCTACTTACTTTTTAAAAGTTTTCTAAAATTTCCTTAAAACCATAAGTAATCTGGAGCTATGTTTATGCAGCATACTCAAAACCTTCAACTCAGGATTGTCCTTTCCATGCAATATTTCAACATTTTAACCAGTTTGCTCAAGACTAGAGTTACACAATTTAATCCAGTTCGAAGCCAGTTTAATGACATAAAATCCGATATTCAATCCAATAAAATCCCTAAAAGATAAGAAAATTAAAGGAAACAGATATAACAGAAAAATTGTTCAAAATCAAATCGTCACGGTGTAGGTGCAACTAAACCATGCAGATTGAAGAGATAAGATGAACATACCAGGGAGGATTTCAATTTGAGGGGTTGGAGAGAGAATGTTTTGTACTGTAGTGATAGAAATCGCCTAGTAGATTCCTGATACCTTCAACAAGTTTCATTAACTTTTACGTAAGTGCCAAAACCAGAGAGCCAAAAACAGAGACGAAATGTTTTGAGTTACAACACAAATATTGAACATCAGTAGATCAAACAAAGAATGAGAGAGCCAAAACCGGAGAGCCAAGATCGAACACAGTCTTACCTTGATAGTCAGTGCGGGAGCGCGTCAGAGCACCTCGAACTCGCTCAACCCATAAATGCCTCGACGCCTCCACCTCGATGCTCCACCTCGTAGGAGAAGACGAACACGAAGTCAAGGAAGAGAAGACGAACACGAAGCCAAGCACGAGAAGATTGTGCTGCGGGGAAGAGTTTGGGAGAAAATTCGATGAAGGGAGGTTAGGGTTCGAAGTATTCCTGAAAGTAGATTAGATGAAATATTCTATGACTGAAAGCGCGATGGGTTCCTAAGTATTCTAAAAATAAAAAAAATAATTTTTAAAAGAATAATAAAATAAAAGATATATGCGGCTTTAGAAAAAAAAACCGCTGAAATTATTCGGGGTTTTTAAAACCATGGAAAATAACCCCCTAAAATTAATAATTTTTGTAGTGTATGAGTCTAAAATTTAATTGATAAAATGGAGATATTTATGAAAATAATTGATTTCATATTTTTAAAAATAATTAATTTAACGTAAATATTTAATATTTAATTAACTAACGGCCACTAATATTCAGATATTGGTTTAGTTTGACAAAAGACTGAATGATGAAAACTTGTTGATGGATTAAATTCTATTTAGTGAATTTGTGACCATTCGAAGGTGTTAGTTACTGATAGATTAGACGATTAATTTGAGAATTCAATGGCCATTTTGAGGACTTGATGATGCTATTTTGGCAATATCTAGAATAATTAAGTATATTGGTTATTAAAAGAACCACTAATGTCAGATTTGTTATATCCGTTAGCGATTGATTAAGTTTTTTATATTATTTTTTTTTATTGAGATCACAAAAATATAAAATTTATGACAATACATTGTATTGATACAAATAAAATCTGGTAATGAGGAACATTTTGTTTTTCAGAATTCAATGGTAAAAACAATGATAAAATTATGATGCATAAAATAATACATTACATTAAAACAGAGAATTAAAATATTGACGTAAGTTTTAAGATACGGGTTATAAGATAATTACACCAAAAATACCAAGATTGGTGTAAAGAATATCTAAATTAATTGAACAAAATGTTTATAATTTTATATACTTTAAAGTCGTACTTTTTTCAAATTTTATTTCATGAGGTTATTTTGTTTGGAAGTTGAAGAAAGTTGCACTTCAAATAAAACAAAATCTATCTGTACTACCTCCTAGTGACTTATGGGTGAGGAAGGAGAGTCGGGCCGATTAAGTCGATCGGTAGTGGATCTAAGTGAGGTAAATGACGAGATAAATATCATTAATGGTTAGTCAATGCGGTTAATAATCACGATAGCAGCAAGAATGCGGCATTTATGGATAATTAACAGATTTCAGGGCACTATAATATACAGGATAAATGGATGATTAATGGGCTGGCCATTTTACGAAGCCTATAAATACAAGATTAATGACCAGGTTAGACATCGGAATCAATAGTTAAGTTAGTCTATCATAGCGTAATTCGGACTTGAGCGTCGGAGTGTTTTGTGCAGGTAAAACCCTATCGGTACCAGGAAAGGAGCAGCAAGTCCGAAGCAAGGAAGAGTGTTCTCGGCCCACTATTGAAACAATTGGCGCCCACCGTAGGACCGAGGACAAATACCCAGTTAAGATCACAAGGATGGCGGGATAGGCGGATCCAGGGGAGTTGATGCAAGAAATGCAAAGGAGGATGGAGGCAATGCAGGCGGAGATTGAGGCATTAAGAGCAGAACGGGACGAATATAGGGATCAGTCGGTCCAACAGTCAGTGATCCCAACACAACACAAGTAGGAGACGGAGGAAACACGCAGGGGGAGGTGGAAACCATGAAGCGAATAGTGCTGCAGAAAACCAGGAAGGCCGACGTAACCCAAGAGTTGATGTTGGTCAGGGGGAACGGCCGGATGAAGCTGAGGGTTTGCACCCGTTTAAAGCGGTTGTGATGGAGGCGCTTATGCCTGAGAATAAAGCGCTTCCTACAATGGAAAAGTATGATGGATCGACTGACCCAAGTGAGCATCTACGATCCTTCGTAGATCCGATGACTGTTTACTCCAATGATAATCTGGTGTGGTGTAGGGTGTTCTCTTTATCATTGAAGGGAGAAGCCTTAGCTTGGTTCCATTCGTTGGAACCCAGGACGATTGATGGTTTTGGGACGCTGCGCAATCTATTTGGGCAACAGTGTGCCTCAAGCAAGCCCCAAGAGCTGACGTATTTGGCCATATTAAAAATGAGGCAAGCAACAGGGGAAACCTTGAGGGACTTCATGGATCGGTTTAATAGGACCGTTCGGCAGGTAAAGGATGTGGATAGGAAATTCATACTGAATAGTCTCACAGAAGCTTTATGACCGGGACCTTTGGCAGATACTTTGTATGCTGAAGAACCATTGACCATGGTGGAGCTACAAAACAGAGCCAACAAGTTCATACACGTGGAGGAAATGCAGGCTTATCAGCAAGTTCAGAAGGAAGAGTATGCACGGGTGGTAGGTCACGATCATGGACGAAAGGATGGAAAGCAAGCACGAGAGCAAGATGAAGGGAGGAACTTCAAAAGAAGAGAATTCCTTAAGGGACCCCGATACACCCGGTATACATCATTGAGTGCAACAAGAATGAGGGTGATGGAAGAGGCCTTGCGGGCGGATCTTTTAACCCTGATACAGGCACCCACTCCCAAGAATGCTGATGGACAGAAGCATTGCAAGTATCACCAAAACTTGGGGCATGACACAGAAGATTGTGGCACACTGAGGGATAAGTTGGAAGAATTGGTTAGATAGGGTCATCTCAAGAGATACGTACAAGAAGAAAAGAGCCGAGAGGCGCCAAGGAATAATTATCCGAGGCAAAATAATCAGCACTCAGGCAGTAATGGAAAGCGCTGGGAAGATCGGCGTGGGGGAAGAACGGCGACAGAGCGATCCTTTAAGGGCCATATCAATACCATCTCATGGGGTTTCACAGGAGGAGGAGCTACCTCGTCAGCCAGGAAGAGGCACTTGAAAAGCCTGAGAAGTGCCAATCAAGCATATGTGAGGCAGAGGTCAATCCCCAAGATTACCTTCTCGAACGAAGATTGTCATGCTCCCGACCTTAATCAAGACGATCTGATGGTAATAACGGCGGTAATAGCCCAGTATACCGTGGCTAAGGTTTTGATAGATCAGGGGAGCTCGGCCAATATATTATATTGGAAGACGTTCCAACAAATGAACCTATCGAAAGATATCATAGCACCGTTTAATGAGCAGATTTTAGGTTTTGTTGGTGAAAGGGTGGATACAAGGGGGTATGTAGATCTCAGAACGAGTTTAGGGACCGAGCGGGGGGCCAAAGAATTGAAGGTCAGATTCTTGTTAGTTGAGGCTAACACCTCGTACAATGCCTTGCTAGGTCGGCCTTGTTTGAATGCTTTTAGAGCAATAGTGTCCACACCCCACTTGACGTTGAAGTATCCATCAAACGAGGGCAGGATTTGTACGGTCAATGCGGATCAGAGGATGGCGTGGGAATGTTATGTGGCAGGACTAAAGATGGAACCGTGGACACCAAGAGCAAGAGCAAGACGAGTGGAGGTAGCTATGGCAGATATGGATCCTAGGACGAACACCGAAGATCGTATGGAACCGCTCGGTGAGCTACAATCGTGCAGTTTGGGAGAAAAGGAAGAGCAATATACTTCCATTGGAGGGAACCTCGAGGATGATCAAAAGGAGGCCATCGGAGGAACATTGAGGGATAATAAAGACTTGTTTGCATGGACGGCGACAGATATGCCAGGAATTCATCCCAGTATAATGTCGCACAAATTATCTTTTTTTAGAGCAGCCCGTCCGGTGGCGCAAAAGAAACAAAGACCGGGGGAGGAAAAAAGGAGGGCGGTGGACGAGGAAGTTAAGAAGTTAATGGAGGGCGGTTCATTCGAGAGGTGAAGTATACCGCGTGGTTGGCTTATGTGGTAATGGTTAAAATGTCAAACGGGCAATGGCGAATGTGTACAGATTTCACCGATTTGAATAAGGCATGCCCAAAAGATGTGTTTCCACTTCCTAGCATTGATGGATTAGTAGATGTCGCATCGGGATATCAGATTCTTAGTTTTTTGGATACTTACTCTGGGTATAATCAAATTCCCATGTATCGTCCAGATTGTGAAAAAACAGCATTTATCACAGAGCGGTCTAATTACTGTTATGAGGTCATGCCATTCGGCCTTAAAAACGCTGGGGCCACTTACCAACGATTGATGGATAAAGTCTTCAAGAAGCAAATTGGGAGATGTATAGAAGTTTACGTTGATGATATGGTTGTAAGAACCCGCACGGTGGAGGAGCATGTGAAGGACTTGGCAGAAGTGTTTGGGCAGGTGCGGAGATACGATATGCGATTGAATCCTGCCAAGTGCTCGTTCAGGGTTGCGGCAGGAAAATTCTTGGGTTTCATGCTGACTGAACGGGGGATTGAAGCTAATCCAGAGAAGTGCCAAGCACTGTTAGAGATGAGAAGTCCTCAAAATTTGAAGGAGGTGCAAAGGTTAGTGCGACGATTGATTTCCTTATCCAGGTTTATCCCTAAACTGGCCGAACGGATAAGGCCAATCGTTAAAATAATGAAGAAGGATGTTAAAGGATTGTGGAACGATCAGTGTGAAGGTGCATTTGCGGAAGTGAAGCAGATACTAACTAGCCCACCTGTCATGGGGCGACCAGAGAGTAAGCATGATTTGCAACTCTATTTAGCTACGACTGATGTCATGATCAGTGTTGCACTGGTACAGGAACCTCCAGTGTTCAAATAAGTCTACTTTGTCAGTAGAATTCTCAAAGATTCAGAGACAAGGTATTAGCAGCTGGAGAAGGTAGCGTTGGCAGTATTGAACGCAACACAGCGCTTGAGGCCTTACTTCCAGAGCCATCAGGTGGTGGTAAGAACCGATCACCCAGTAGCAAAAATCCTGTGAAAACCAGATTTGGCAGGAAGGATAGTGGGTTGGTCCGTTGAGTTATCAGAGTTCGGTTTACGTTATGAACCACTCGAGTCGATACGAGGACAACACTTGGCAGAGTTTGCGGCGGAACTTCCTGTAGATGACGGGGATAACCCATTCCTCTGGAAACTTTTCTTCTATGGATCAACTAGTAAGAGTAGAGGAGGAGCGGGAATTGTGCTTGAAGGGCCAGATGGTGTGATAATTGAACAATCGCTTATCTTTAGATTCAAGATAAGTAACAACCAAGCTGAGTATGAGACCCTAATAGCAGGTATGGAGCTTGGTCTTGACTTAGGCGTTCTCTCTTTGGAGTGCCAGACTGATTCGCAGCTTGTCAAGGGACATATGAATGGAAGCTTCCAAGTAAAAGACGATCAGTTGCTTCAATATTTTCACAGAGCTCAGAGGTTAAGGGAGCGGTTCAAAACAATAGAGGTGAAGCATATATCTCGAGAGGAGAACACTCGAGCGGATGTGCTATCCAAATTAGCCTGCGGGAAGGAAAAGGGACAGTTGTCTTCAGTGATTAGAAGGACCTTGATGAAACCTATCATAGAAGGTTTAGCCACCTTCCAGCCGATTGAGCAATTTGATTGGAGAAAGGAAATCATAGAGTTAATCAAGGGGCAGGAGGAAGGGAGACCAATGAAAGCGAAAGACGCTAAGAGAATTGCTCGGTATCTTCTGATCGGGGAAGAATTGTACCAAAGAGGCTTCGCAGCTCCGCTGATGAAGTGTTTAATGCCAGAGGAAGCGGAATATGTTTTAAGGGAATTACACGAGGGGATGTGCAGGAGACATACTGGCCAAAGGGCACTCCAAGCCCGAGTATTGAGAGCAGGATACTTCTGGCCAACATTGAGTAAAGACTGTGGCACTTTTGTCCAAAAGTGCCTGAGTTGCCAAAAGCATGAGAATGTGTTTAAGGCTCTCGCTACTGAGCTACATAGTCTTGTATCCCCATGGCCATTCGCCCAATGGGGAATGGACATTGTAGGTCTCATGCCGGTCGGCAGGGCTCAGAGAAAGTTTCTCTTGGTAGCCATTGATTACTTTACTAAGTGGGTGGAAGCTGAGCCTCTCGCTACCATATCCGCTGCACAGGTCCAGAAGTTTGTATGGAAGTCCATCTGTAGGTTCGGGTTACCGCAGACGATAATCACGGACAACGGAAGGCAATTCGTGGACAAGAAGTTGGTAGCCTTTTACCAGGGATTGGGAATAAAGCACATTACCAGCTCGGTGGAGCATCCCCGGACTAATGCGTAGGCAGAAGCGATGAACAAGGCCATTGTTCAAGAATTAAAGATGCGGCTTGGAGAGGCGAAGGGCGCATGGCCAGATGAGTTGTTGGAAGTCATGTGGAGCTATCGGTGTACGCCGCACGGCACCACAGGGGAATGTTCTTTCAATCTCACATATGGCACCGATGCGATGCTTCCGGTTGAGGTAGGAGAACCCACGGTCAGGAGAAGGTTGAAAGATGCTAAGCGAAATGAGGAGTCATTGAGGGTCGAGTTAGATGTCTTGCAAGAAAAACGATCGGTCATCTGGTCAGAGGCGCAAAAGAGGATGATTGCAAGAAGATACAATACGAAAGTCCGACCTAGGCAGTTTGTAGAGGGTCATATGGTTTGGCGTAAAACAGCGGACGCAAGGAAAGAACGGGCCCACGGAAAATTCGCTGCCAATTAGGAGGGGCCATTCAACATAGTTGAAAGCATTGGCGGTGGAGCATATTGGTTAGAGCATCTGAATGGCAAAGTTGTCCCAAATACTTGGAACGCAACTCATTTGAAGTTTTATTTTAGCTACAACTATGTAAATTTGCATTCAGTTAATAAATAACATCAGGAGGTTTTTTTGGCAATTTATGCTCATTTTCTAATTATGGTACGCGTGAAAAGGCCCACGGGCTGCTAAGCTCAAAAAGGGGTCCATGTCGTTCGTCACTCAACATAGGAAAGGGCCCTCGGGCAGTTAAGCTCAAAAGAGGGTCCCTGTCATTCGTCGCTCTACGTGGGAGAAGGCCCTCGGGATGTTAAGCTCAAAAGGGGTTCTTACCGTTCGTCACTCAAAACAGGAAAAGGCCCTCAGGCTGTTAAGCTCAAAAGGGGGTCCCTGTCATTTATCACTCAACGCGGGAAAAGGCCCTCGAGCTGTTAAGCTCAAAAGGGAGTCCCTATCGTTCATCACTCAACGCGGGAAAAGGCCCTCGGGCTGTTAAGCTCAAAAGGGGGTCCCTGTCGTTCGTCGCTCAACACAGGAAAAGGCCCTCGGGCTGTTAAGCTCAAAAGGGAGTCCCTACCGTTCGTTGCTCAACACAGGAAAAGGCTCTCGGGTTATTAAGCTCAAAAGGGGGGTCTCCACCGTTCGTCGCTCAACACAGGAAAAGGCCCTCGGGCTGTTAAGCTCAAAAGGGGGTCCCTACCGTTCGTCGCTCAAAACAGGAAAAGGCCCTCGGGCTGTTAAGCTCAAAAGGGGGTCCCTGTCGTTCGTCGCACAACACAGGAAAAGGCCCTCGGGCTATTAAGCTCAAAGAGGGGTCCCTATCGTTCGTCGCTCTACGTGGGAAAAGGCCCTCGGGTTGTTAAGCTCAAAAGGGGGTCCCTGCCGTTCGTCGCTCAAAACAGGAAAAGGTCCTCGGGCTGTTAAGCTCAAAAGGGGGTCCTTATCGTTCGTCGCTCAACACGAGAAAAGGCCCTTGGCTTATTAAACTCAAAAGGGGGTCCCTACAGTTCGATGCTCAACGCAGGAAAAGGCCCTTGGGCTGTTAATCTCAAAAGGGGGTCCCTATCGTTCGTTGCTCATCACAAGAAAAGGCCCTCGGGCTGTTAAGCTCAAAAGGGGGTCCCTATCATTCGTCGCTCAACGCCGGAAAAGGTCCTCGGGGTGTTAAGCTCAAAAGGGGGTTCATGTCGTTCGTCGCTCAACACATGAAAAGGCCATCAGGCTGTTAAGCTCAAAAGGGGATCCCTGTCGTTCGTCGCTCTATGCGGGAAAAGGGCCCTGGGGCATTAAGCTCAAAAGGGGTCCCTGTCGTTCATCACTCAACACAGGAAAAGGCCCTCGGGCTTTTAAGCTCAAAAGAGGGTTCCTGTCGTTCGTCACTCAACACAGGGAAGGCTCTCAGGTTGTTAAGCTCAAAAGGGGGTCCTTACCGATCAGCTAACTTTGCGAGCTCTGAGCTCAAAGATCATGTTCTCTTTATCTATTGTCTGTTATCAGTAAATATCGAACAATTTTTACTTCTTAACGATGAAGAAAATTGGAATTAGCATCGCGATGAGGATATCAGTTAACACTAATGTTTGCTAATATGGAATAAAAAATATGACAAATGTCTTGATCATTCATTGTTAAAAGTTTGTACAGGAAAGTACACTAAGTGCAAGTCTAAAACTAGGTAAAGTCAAAAGTACAGCTTAGAAAAAGTTCACGATCAAGTGTTGAGGGTCGTGTCTTCATCACCCACACGCTCGGAAACTAGTCTCCTTAGTAATGTTAGGGTCGACGGCAGGCTGGGTGGCATTATCGTCAGGATGGGTTAATGTCACCAACTGGCCGTCAACCAAGACCTTCATGATGTCGAACCCAGGGTGATTTAGAGGGGTTTCAAAGAAGTAATGACATTGTGCGATGCCCTGTTCGAACCCATGAAGGCGCTTGTCGCATACGGCACGGGCTAGGTATTCATTTTCTGCAGCAAGTTTCTTCTTATCGGCTATCAGGGAGTCCCTCTCTTTCATCAATTCATCATTTTGGGTGGAAGCTTTCTACAAGTCCAACTTCAAGGTGTCATTGGCCTGCTTGAGTTGGCGATTGTTATTTTTGGCTTGACTTAGAGCAGTGGCGGCTTTCCCACGATCGTCTTTCGCAGTTTTTAGGGCCTCGCTCAAACGAAGTGACAGGCTGACGTTTTCCTTTTCGGCAGCTTCTAAA